AAATTATCAACCTCGTTGCTTTAACGTATGTGAAATTATCAACCTCATTGCTTTCACGTATGTGAAATTATCAACCTCATTGCTTTCACGTATGTGAAATTATCAACCTCATTGCTTTAACGTATGTGAAATAATCAACCTCATTGCTTTAACGTATGTGAAATTATCAACCTCATTGCTTTCACGTATGTGAAATCTTTTGATAGCAATGTATAGAAACAAACATTATGGTATTCTCTTTCATTGCGCGCTTCATTGAGCACATCGTGAGTAATTGTCCCAAGTAAAATGTTTTGATGGCATTAAAAACCGGAATTCAAAGAAATGCTGACTTCATGGAAGTAAAGGGAAAATGCGCCACTACTAAAGTTGAGAAAACAAATATCAAACAAAAAGACTGACTTGTAATGAATAATTGCTACGGGATTGTAATGGACGACGTTGCTGTTGGTCACAATTTTGTAAAGGAAGAAATTATGACTTGTTGTTTCAAAATAAAATAATTCAACATTTTCAAAAGAAAGGAGTTCAACATTTTCAAAAGAGATTAATTCAACACGTGAAGGATTGTTATATTTTTATAAACAAATAATGATTTTTTTTATTAATCCAACAGATTTTTATCACTTTAAACGTTATTTTTAGTGGATACTCATATTTAAGTAGACGTTCCATTTGTTTATTAAACAGTATATTTACAGCTGCTGATTCTTTGAAAACGAAATTGATAGAAACACATGAAAAGTGCTGTCAAGAAGAACTTGAATTGTGCAAGGATCAATGTGAGACATCGGTATTGACCAGGGAAAAAAAAAGAAATTCATAAACAAATCCACAGTTTTAAAATGAACACGTGGTTTCAATGAAATCTCGTAAGCGAGATTCAAGTTTTGGATTTCTTCGAGATGTGCAAAATATTGTCTCTAGAGATTTCCAAGATGTAAAACTGCAAGATAAATTCTCTAGCTTAGTAAATAGCTATTAAGTTTATACTAATAGAACATAATTATACAAAGAAACTGTTGTAATGTACGGTAAGATTTAGCTGAGGTTTGAGGGAAACAGCAACTACGGGGCTAATAGACAGAGAGGGTTTTCGCGTTGCTTTTATTGGCATGAGGCATCTTACAAAGACCTGGATCTTGACTATTTGCAGAGAGTCCCGTATCTAGACATGCTAAGCTGTACCGCTGCTAGTGGGGAAAACCCGAGTGTAACTAGTGTTGACAAACATGTCCGCACGCAGTACGGGCACACTTTTGCGTCTTTACCGGCGCGCGTTCCCCAAGAGAAACTTAAAACTAGTAGAAATTTTGTCAGAAAAAGAATAAAGGACTGAATCAAAAGTTGCAACTGATTTGTTAAAATTTATAATTTCATATGGTGTAGATATTTTCCAAAATGTAAGAATTGCTTTGTAGATTTTGTTTTCAACTGTTTCTTGCTAGTTGTGAAAAACTTTTAACGCCTTGAAATTATTTCTTATGCACTTGATAACCTCATTGACTTAAGTATAACTTATTGACTTTGCAATATTAACTGTTGAAAGAAATGTACTTAATAACTTAAATTTTGATAATTTAATTAATGCATTTACTGCAGCAAAGCACGAAAGATTCATATCTTATAGTAATGGAAATATAAAGTAACAATGAATGCCAGAAAACTATACAAGTTCTAGTTAAGTCTAAGAATTATTCTGAATACAAATATAATTTACTCTTCGGAAATTTAAGTCGTATCTTATCAGTCGGTTTCATAATCAATGTATATGAAAAATGAGTAGATTCTTATATAAAACAGGACTTTCAAAACTAACTCTACACTGGGAATCTATCGGGTTTGCTTGTAACATTACTTAAGCTATTTTAAGCTTATGAATGTTATGGGCTACGAAGTAATTCTCTTAAATCTGGGCATTTATCCATGCACAGTTAGCACCCCCCCCTGATGTAGTTACAAGTCAACAACAAAATATATCGAAGACATCTTAGAGTTTCTATTAAATTTGGTGGAAGATCATGCTATGAATGATACAACAAATAATAAGAATTTGGATTCAGTTCACGAATCCCTATAGTTAACTCCCTTGCAAATTGTTTTAATAACACTGACGTTGGCGGAAATATTCGCTCTTTGAGTGATCTTTTAGTTATTTTTATAAAGTTGGTACCGAGTCACACAAAAAATAATCAAAGCGGGGGTGGGGATTCCGGAAGTATTTTTGCTACCACGTACTGAACAATCTTGTTAAGTTACACTTGGAACTGTAAACACTAATAAACATAAAACATTACTTTTTTATTTAATGATTATCAAATAATGTTTTTTTTTATGTTTATTTATGCTCTGTTATAAGTGATGACATCGCTCTTGATAATGACGGACGGTTGTAGAGAGTACTCGATCAAAAAAACTTATGATACAATTTCTTTATGAATTTGGTCTCGCTGTACGACAACGCCGGTGGAAATTACAATAAAACATTAAATAAAGAAACATTACCAGTCAGATTTAATAAAATATATTTAAACACACACACACACATACACACCTATATATATATATATATATATATATAATCATTTGGTTATGTGGATAATCCCGAGGAGTCACTAAAAAAGGAATATCCTGGTAAAAAATCTCCTAGTCGAGAGCTCAATGTTTGATAATGATAAAAAATCATACAGACCAATAAGGATTATATTACATTTGAATTTTCGAGTTATAAACTTAAATTTATTTCGCAGTTGGTTTAAACTGTATCTTCAGACTGGTATAAAGGTCCCAAAAAGAGAAAATAAATTGATTTAAAAAAGAAACAGAGAAGAAGCAAGAAAAGAAAATCCCGCTACCATAAAATTTTCTTTTCTTTCCTTCTTGTCTGTCTTTCTTTTTTAAATCAATTTATTTCTTGCGTTTGGTGCATTTAAACCAGTTCGAAGATTGTAGCGGCGACTTACCTCAGCGACCCAAAAGGGCCAGAGTCACGTGTATGTTTTTGCAAGGGGGTGTGGAGACGGTAAATCTGACAGCACTTCGTGCTAATGGTGGTGGCGTCGCTTGTAGCCATTTTTATTGCCTCGTTCTGGGCTCTCATTGGCTACGTTTTGGCTGGGTCAGGGGTGTAAAAACATGATACGGTCATTTAAGAGGCGTTGACATTGTCTTACGGGACGGTGAGTGGAATATTGGAGATTGAGGCAAGAAGTGTGGATTTGTTTTGCCGAGTGAACCTCTTGGACTCGTCCTTCCTTTCTTTTCTCGTGTTTCCTTTCAACCAATTTTTGCAACAAAAATGGAGTGCAAACCAACTTTTGAAATAAATTTAAGTTTATAACTCGAAAATTCAAATGTAATATAATCCTTATTGGTCTGTATGATTTTTTATCATTATCAAACATTGAGCTCTCGACTAGGAGTTTTACCAGGATATTCATTTTTAGTGACTCCTAGTCCTCGGGATTATCCACATAACCAAAAATATATATATATATATATATATATATATATATATATATATATATATATATATATATATATGAACATTGAAGTCAACACTCAGAGACGACATGCTGTTTCATGTTAGATGCAATCCTCAGGCCGCCTCTAAGTGTTGACTTCAATGTTTACTTTTATATTTACATACGTTCTATCTCTGATATTGAGCACTTTATCCCATAAATATAGCACACCTTAAGACTATATTTCATCATATACATATATATATATATATATATGAGTGTGTGTGTGTGTGTGTGTGTGTGTGTGTGTGTGTGTGTGTACAGGGTGCAATGGGTAAATTATCGCCATTTTATATTTTTAATTTTGCGTATGCGCGTTGTTTGTTTTTGATTTTCTCTCCTGCTCAGTATAGTAGGGTCAGTTGGGCACCGTCTTTGAGAAAAAGGAACGCCATGACGCAAGTCACTACTCAAGAAAATCGGAAACGGCATGTTTTACTGCTTGGCATTTGCGCCGGGAGTTCTAATGCAAACATTTCAGAGTGTTTGGGTGTCAATCTGAGGACAGTGCAGAGGATTCGGAAAGAGTTGGATGAGTCTAATGGTGATTACAAAGGTTTCGGCTGCTCGCAAAAGTCACTGATTGTTCTGATAAGAAAAGAACTCCCGAATTTGTTGGTGAGGGCCTCTGACCCAACACGGAGACCTATATTAAATGCCTTGAGGAGGTAGTGCTGCCTTGAGTCAAGATAATAGCTGTTGGAAGTACCTATGTCTGGTAACAAGACTCTGCATCATTCCACACAAACAGTAGAACCCAATCATGGCGGTCTGACAATTTCTATGACCACATGACCCCCTTACGTCTGACCACCTACCTCCCCAGACTGCAATTCCCTTGATTATTATGTCTGGGGTACAGTTGAGCGAGAGACCAACAAAACTCCTCACAATGATAAACTGGGGGCAAGGATTATGGCAGCATTCACCTGCTTAAACAAGGAGACCGCCCAGAAGAGTTGCAGGAGATTCTGAAATCGTATGGAGACCGTGGTTTAAGCCAATGGTGGTTTTATTGAATAAAACTACTCTTTAGAATTGGAAGATATTTTTGTGGAATTTTGGTAAATATGTAGACGGCAATTTATCCATCGCACTCTGTGTGTGTGTGTGTGTGTGCGTGCGCGTGTGTGTGCATGTGTTTGTGTGTGTGCGCGCGTGTGTGTGCATGTGTGTGTGTGTGTGTGTGTAAAGAGTGGAAGAACCATTGAAGTGAAACGTTTCGTCCCAAAGAAATACAACATCGGCTTACGACAACATTGCACGATGCAAACTTTGCCTAAAGGAGAAAACAGTGGCAATCACTTTTCCAAAACATGATAAACTCCTGAACAAAATATTAGAGCTCATTTCAAAACGCAGGCACGAAAGTAAATTTCGACTGCTCTACCTAAAACCACATCATGACGAAAAAGACTAAATAAAATCCCATAACCTAATTATAATAAACTTTATTCAAAATAAGGACACATACGTTCAAAGAAAAAAAACAGGAAAGAAAAAAACAGGGAAATAAAAAAACAAGAACGAAAAAACAAGAAAGAAAAAACAGGAAAGCAAAAAAGGAAAGAAAGAAACAGGAAAGAAAAAAAAAACAAGAAAGAAAAAACAAAAAAAAACAAGAAAGAAAAAACAAGAAAGAAAAAAACAGGAAAGAACAAAAACAAGAAAGAAACAAACAAGAAAGAAAAAACAGGAAAAAAAAAGAAAGAAAAAATAAGAAGGAAAAACAAGAAAGAAAAAACAGGAAAGAAAAACTACAAGAAAGAAAAAAACAAGAAAAAAAAACAGGAAAGAAAAATCCAGAAATGAAAAAAACCTGAAAGAAAAAAAACAAGAAAAAATAAAAACAAGAAAGAAACAAGCAAAAAAGAAAAAAACAAGAATGAAAAAAAAAAGAACCAAAAAACAGGAATGAAAATCAAAAGAAAAAACAAGAAAGAAAAAACAGTAAGGAAATAACAAGAAAGAGAAAAAACAGGAAAGAAAAAAAGCAAAAAAGAAAAAGCAAGAAAGGAAAAAAAACAGGAAAGAAAAAAAAGACAGGAAAAACCAGGAAAGAAAAAAACAAGAAAGAAAAAACAAGAAAGGAAAATAACAGGAAAGAGAAAAGCAAGAAAGAAAAAACAAGACAGAAAAAAACAAGAAAAAAATAAACAGGAAAGAAAAAAACAAGAAAAAAAAAGAAAAAAGAAAAACAAGAAATAAAAAAACAGGAAAGAAAAAACAGGAAAGAAAAAACCAGAAAAAAACAGGAAAGAAAAAACCAGAAAAAAACAGGAAAGAAAAAACCAGAAAAAAACAGGAAAGAAAAAACAAGAAAAAAGCAGGAAAGAAAAAACAAGAAAAAAAAACAGGAAAAAAACAAGAAAGAAATAACAAGAAAGAGAAAAACAAGAAAGAGAAAAACAAGAAAGAGAAAAACAAGAAAGAAAAAAAAAAGAAAGAAAAAAACAAGAAAGAAAAAACAAGAAAAAAACAAGAAAGAAAAAACAATAAAGGAAAAAAACAGGAAAGAAAAAACTAGAAAGAAAAAAACAAGAAAGAGAAAAACAAGAAAGAAAAAACAGGAAAGAAAAAACTAGAAAGACAAAAAACAGGAAAGAAAAAACAAGAAAGAAAAAACAATAAAGAAAAGAAAAAACAGGAAAGAAAAATCAAGAAAGAAAAAACAGGAAAGAAAACACAAGAAAGAAAAAAAAACAAGAAAAAAGGAAACAAAAAAACAAGAACGAAAAAAAACAGGAAAGAAAAAACAAGAAAAAAACAGAAGAAAGAAAAAAACAAGAAAGAAAAAAACAGGAAAGAAATAAAGAAAAGAAACTCTCTGTAGATCTGATTTTCTTTAAATCACTCGCCCACGAATTGCGAAGAGCTCACATTTTTCTAATATTCAGGTCGGTAGACACAACTAAATATACTGTTTAAACGAAGCGTCCTACTAAAATAACGTTTAAGTGATGATAGAGGAAACAGGTTCGAATCCTGCCAGAGAGCACACATTTTTTTCTTTAATAAAATTTCTCGAATATTCAGGCCGGTATACGTAAATGAATAGATATACTGTTTAATATATAAACGGAGCGTCTACTACTCAAATATAGGTATCCACTTAAAATAATGTTTAAGTAATAAAAATCTGTCCGATTAATATATAAAATCCATCGCTATATATATATAGATATAGATATAGATATAGATAGAGAGAGGGAGATGGATTATATAAATGATTGGTGAAAATGCCTACACAGGGTGTATTTTGACTACTTCGAGTTAATTCATTAGTGATTTTAAGTTGTTTTAATAATGTTGTTATATAGAGCATAAAATGACATAACATAAACGCATTAGATAAACAGCGAAGAAGCTTTAAAATCCTTTCAGTCTTTTTTTTGGCTCTGGCTACGAATGAAATTCTTTCTTTCTTTCTTTCTTATCCAGTTGATATCACTCTCTTCCTTCTTTATTTCTTTCTTATGCAGTTAATGTCATTCGATTCCTTCATCGTTTCTTTCTTTCTTATCCAGTTTATATTCATTAATCTCTTTCTTTCTTTCTTTCTTTCTTTCTTTTTTCCCTTCAGTTCATATCACTCTCTTCCTTCATTATTTGTTTGTTTCTTTCTTTCTTTCACTCCTTTTTCTTTCTTTCTTTCATTCTTTCTTATCCAGTTCATATTCATTCATTCATTTCTTCTTCAGCTCATGTCAGTCGATTCCTCCATATTTTCTTTCTTTCTTATCCAGTTAATATTCATTCATTCGTTTCTTTCTTTCTTTCTTTCTTTCTTTCTTTTTCATTCCATTCCTCCATCTTTTCTTTTTTTTTCTTATCCAGTAAATATTCATTCATTTATCTCTTTCGTTCTTTCTTTCTCTCTCACTCTTTCTTTCTTTCTTTCTTTTTTCTTTCTATCTTCCTTTCTTTTTTTTTTTTTTTTACTATCATTCGTTTCCTCTATTTCTTTCTTTCTTTCTCCACTCATATCGATCCCTTTTTCCTTTCTTTTTTATTTCGAAAATTTATTTCTTTGAAAAATTCTTCAACTGACTTAGAATTAAAGCATAATGACAGAAGTCATTCATTCTTCTTTAAAGTATCCTGATTGAATTCGCATGCTGGCTGAGCTAGTTGGGTATTTCACTCCAACACTCGTCATCGGATTATGAGTCCAAGTACAAAAGAAGACTTTTCTAAAGCTGATTACGTCGGCAAACAAAACTTTACTCCAACATTTGTCCTTCCGCTACGCCAAATTCAGTAAATGTCACTAAAAATAAATCCTGGTTTAAAACCTTCAGTGACCTTGAAGAATGGATTTTATTCGAGCTTAAAATTTGCTCGGATACAGATTTCCACGAATTCGGCTTCTGCTCGTCGATACGGAAATTAAATGATGCAGCAAATAAGCTTGAGAACAAATACAGAAATGTTCTATTTTTCTATTCCACTGACTAGGACGGATTGAAGATGGAACCAAATTGCATTTGTTGGGTAGATTGCCAGGAATGGTAAGGATGAGATGAGCCGTTTCCTTATAAAGAAACATTCGACATTCACTGACAGAACGATTAGCTTTACTGTCGGTTGAAATTTATAAAATCTTCCTCTTCAGACATTTTTCAAGAAATTAGACTTCTGCAGTCTCCTGTTATAGCTCTTTCTAATATTAATTCCTTTAGTAAAATCATTTACAATGCATTCTTATACCAAATTCTATTAAAATGAATTCTAATACAAAACTCTATTAAAATGTATTGTAATACTAAACCCTATTAAAATGAATTCTAATACAAAACTTTATTAAAATGCATTGTAATAGACTCCTTTAAAATGCATTCTTGAAATCTAAAATCTTATATAATGCATTCCGATGGTAATTGAGATAAATTGTTTTCTTACGAGGTTCACACAGAGATTTATCCCTAGTTTCCTGTTTAGGATTGGATTTCCAATTCATTCTAAAGTATTTTTCCTTCTCTTTCACTTCCAGTAGCCTCTTGCACTTTAATGAAATTATCGCCTTGCTTGGGATGAATTGATTAAAAAAATCGGCTTCTCTAGTTCACTCTTATTACTTTTTCTAGCATCAATGAGAGTTTCCTTCCTAACTTTTTGTTTGAAGTAGTGTGGAAGTCAACATCTAGATTTCCATCTAGTTAGACCTGCTATCCATTTTAGTCGTTGCCGTTGCTGGAAGTCTTCAAGTGATGTCATTTGGTAAAGCTCTATGCGTAGCACCAGTCTATAAGATCTGATGAAGGATTGTCTCCTTTATCCAGCTCACACTCCTCCCCAGTCTTTTGAATATGACTAGAGTTTTATCCCTTGTTGCCTGTTTAGGATTGCGTTTCCGGTTCTATCTAAAGTCTACTTTAACTCTATATATACTTCTAACGTCCTCGCCTGAACTCTGACTTTCTATTCACTATTTATTTTTTCCCTTCAATAGGAGTAGATAGGTTCGTCTATCGCTCGGTTCATACTCCTCCTTGGCCTTTTGAACAGGGATAGCCTTGTTTCGAGGTTAAGATTGAGTTTCCAGTTCCCTGTAAAGTTTTCTTTTTCACTACCAATCGTTAGAAACAAAGAAAAGCGTACTGAACTGTTAGGTAATATCAGTCCCTCTGTATGGCAGTGAATGCTGGACAACTCCCTTATGGATGGGCAGGAGTCTTGAGGTAGCAGAAATGTGGTTCAACAGGAGGATACTGAGAACACCATGGACCGAACATATGAACAACGACTAAGTTTTAGAAAAAATGGAAACAAAAAGGAAACTTACACTTAACATCAAGAAGAGACAGTTAAAATTTGTAGGACACATGATAAGGAAAGATGGCTTGGAAAATCTGACACTCACAGGACAGCACGAAGGTAAGAGGGGCAGAAGTATAACGCATAACATGGCGGAACAAGCTTTAAGAGATAACAAAAAAATTATTAACCATTCACAAAAACTCTTTCAGTAGCACTCTACCTCGGGTGGCTCTTGAGCCTTGTATGAAGTGAACATTAGTAAAAAAAAAATGAACCTACCCTGTTAATTTTGTTTAAATTTAATGAAAACACTTTTTTGATAATCAAAATGTCAGGTCAGGACTGATAAAATACAAAGAAGAATCTGCAATGTTACTGATCCTAACCTGACATCTCGGCTTCAGTCACTTTCCCTCTGCTGTAATGTATCTTCTATTTATCCATGCATTGAATATTGCTGCCACATATGGTCTGGTGCTCTTGCTATATATTTAGAGATTCTTGATAAAATCCAAAGAAGAATCTGCAATGTTACTGATCCTGACCTGGCATCTCGGCTTCCGTCACTTTCCCACCACTTCTCTTTGCCTTTTCTATAAATATTTTCATGGTAATTGTACTGATGAGTTTTCCTCTTTGGTTCCTAGACCTTATTAATTTAATCCCAATAATAGTTTGGCGACAAGGTCTCATTATTTTATAGTTGAGATGTAACCATAAGTTTTATGCCGAGTCTTTTCCCTCGCACTTCTCGCTTGTGAAAGTCTCTTCCTGCTTCTTGCTTTCCAGTAAACTTTGATCTTCAATTTAAATGCAATTTTCAATCGTCATCTTCTGTATTCTTAATTCCTGTTCTTTTATTGTCCTCTCTTCTTAATAATGCCAGTCCTGGATATGACGATAAAATACATCCGGTAGTAAGGGGCCTCTGATCGGGTGATTGGCGGTTTTGAGGAGCGTGGAACCAACTCTTAATTATTTTTGTTCCTAGCTCCACCCTGACCCGGTGTGGTAGCACCTGTTAGGTGGTCTTAGATATGACCAAATAGTGATTCCTCAAGCAAAAACAAAATACTAGCAAAATATAAAAATACTTATTTATAGTAAAATTACCAACAATACCTATTTATAGTAAAATGACCAACAATACATTTAAATTCTCTGGTGGAAAGAATATAATTGCGTTCAAAATGTATTTAGTTGAAGCCATAAAATTGCGTTCAAAATATTTAGATTTCGGCATTAAATAACTTATAAAGGTGTTGATATACCTCTGAACAAAAACAGCCAAGCAACAATGCATATTTAAAATAGAATTACCAACAATACATTTTATCTGTAGTAAAAGGTATATAATTGCGTCCAAAATATATTTAGTTGAAGTCATAAAATTGTGTTCAAATTATTTAGATTTTAGCATTAAATAACTCATAAAGGTGTTGATATACCGCTAAATAAAATTAGCCAACAAACCAACATGAAAGAACTCTTTCATGGCATTAATCCATATAATATCTTAATTTCTTAAATCAAATGTTATTGCAAAGTATAAATTGAACAAAACTACAACATAAAACCCCATATATCATCACCTCTAGTAATTATGTCCACACAAACAAGTATATGAACAAAAGATGAGTATCATCTACCATGTATTCAATGGTGAAGACACTTTTAAAACAAAATGACCAACAATACATTTTATAATAAAATAATCAACAATACATTTTATTTGTAGTTCAAGGCATACAATTGTGTTCAAAATGTATTTAGTTGAAACCATAAAAATATTTACATTTCGGCATAAAATGACCCATAGAAGCTGATATGCCGCTAAACAAAATCAGCCAAACCAAATCAAACCAATCAAAATATTTAGATTTCAGCATTAAATAACCCATAGAGGTTGATGCACCGCTAAACAAAATCAACCAATCGACCTTAATACTGTTTTCTTTTTCTCATATCATTTTACACGCAGTAACACCTTGCGTCTTAGAGGCTTTATTGCCTTGCTTGCGGTAAAATTACTTTTAAAAGATAGTGTTTAATCTATATTTTAAAAAAAAACGATGCTTTGTGGCCGCAGTGCATATTGCACAATTCCAACCGAGTGAGGTCATCTTCCTGGCATAGAAACATCTAAAACCTCTGTTTCTTTAAACTCGTTTCTATCTCATGTGGTGGTAAGTAAAGTAAGTCAAAGTTCGAAACTCTCCAAATCTGACGAGTGTTGTTGCATGTGTTTTACATCATGTGCATCTCACCGTATTCCGCTGGGTGTGGCTGGGGCTCAAAAACATAAGCAATATTTGTTCAACTAGTTTCATATTTTTCTTTCTCCTGATAAAAAGAGACCGTCAGTCTCCCGTGGAGCCCATTCGTGTAAATGCTAATGAAACTAATTTATACTCCCATTCTGTATCTATCCAAAATGCTACTTTCCAAGATTAAATCATTTTTTGTCAAATTACTATCGATTAAACACTCCCGCTCACGAATATCGATTTTTTTTTTTAACATTTAACCCCAAGCAAGGCAGGAGTGCCACTACCACGCAAGGGGTTACCGAGAATGGAAGCAAGAGTAAAGAGACGTAATAAAGGAAAGGATGAAGAGAAAGACGGGATCAAGGCATCTGGAGATGTCGATTGACATTGCATTTGAATAGCTAGAGATTATAACTATCAGGGGAGCAAGTAAGAGGAAGGGAGTTCCACAGACGGGAAGGATGGACTCGAGCGAGAAAAAACTTTCTGGCGCGACACAGAGAACCAAATTTCCTTGCGGTAGATGAAGCTATTGATTCAATGTATTTGTCCCATCTCAGGTCAGCGGATAGTGTGAGACCAAGCAGTCGCAGAGAGGTGCTTTCGTGGAGCATCAGACATTCTAATGGGTGGCAGGGAGAGTTCTCTGTGCTGGGTAAATGAGAGCAGTTTTGTTTTTGAGGCATTAAAGTTAACCAGCCATTTCTTGCCCCAGTCAACAACAGATTGGATGTCCTTTTTGTGACCAACAGTCAGGTTAGTTTTATCAGCGATGTCGGATTTACTATTGCGTCAGGAGTAAATAGTAGTGTCATCTGCATAGACGCCTACTTAGGAACTGATGACATCGGGAAGACCGTCAATGAAGATCAGAAAAAGTGTAGGGCCGAGGAGAGAGTCTTGGGAAACACCTGCGTTTTTTAAAAATTTGATAAAACTTGATAGAGAGGAATTCTGTTTTCAGTACAAATTCTTTGTAAATAGATCCCTCTTCTTCTTCTTCTTCTTCTTCTTCTTCTATGTACCGTGTCCCTTCAGGACGTAGACAATCATGGCTCACCACAATTTTCTGTCCTTCGTAGCTCTTAATAAATCATGCAGAAGATTATAATCAAAGTAAAATAACTTAAAGATATCCATTTCCAAACAGTACGTCTTAAATTATTCTATATGCCGAAAACTTGCTCCACCATACATTTACTCAAAACCACTAAGTAGGTTATGCGTTGATTTCCTCTGTCCATCTTGCCTTCAAGCTGCCTTGTGAGTATCAAATTTTCCAAGCCCCCTTTCCTTATTACGTGGCCTAAAAATTTCAATTGTCTCTTTCTGATGTTAAGTATAAGTTTCTGTTATATAGGAATAAAGTGTCGCGGTTGACACTTGAGTTTGAACATAGATCACCGGCAAGCAAACACAGGCGATCCCATTATTGAATTAAGTAGATCACGTGAGTAAACTCATATATGAGAGGTAGCGTGTGTCTAATTGATCGTCATTTCTAGTCTATCCTCTATTCGGATCTCCATTTCTAGTCTATCCTCTATTTACTATACGGATCGCTATTCTCTACTCTATTCACTATACTATTTCTCTATTCGGATCACTATACGGATTACTATTCGAGCGAGTATTATCGAGTAAGTGCGAGTCTTATTCGAGGGTGTCTGACACCAGTATTGTTCAACAGTGTTACTATAGTTGTAACTGCGATTACAAAGTCTCTGCTATAATGAGCATTACGAAAGTGATAACGACTATTTTTTGATATCACAAAAATGGCAACGAGTGTTCGTCGACATCACAAAAGTTTCTTTTTTGTTTCCTTTTTCACTCAAACTTCGTCGTTGCTCACATGTTCGGTACATCGTATCCTCAGCATCCTTCTGTAGAACGACATTTCTGTTACTTTAAGTCCTCTTCTTCATCTGTGAGGAGATTGTCCAGCATCCCTTGCCATATAAGAGGAGTGATATTTCGTAACAGTTCAGTACACTTTTCTTTGTTTCTAACGAAATGTTCTTGTTTCTTAATTTTCTACTGAGCTTTTGGAAATCATCTTTGGCCATCCCAATTCGCCTTCGGATTTCAATGTCTCACTTTCCTTCCTCTGTTAAAACACTTCCCAGATATTTAAATTTTTTTACTTATTTGATTTTGGCAACTCCGATTTGCAATTTGCACTTTGGGTTGATGCTTTTGCTAACAACCCTGCATTTTGTCTTCTTGCGGTTGATGTTTAGTCCTTTCTTCTCGCTTTCCTCCATTACCTTCTGTAGGAGTTTTTGTAGTTTTCTTTTCGTGTCTGCTATCAACACTGAGTCGTCTGCATATCTTATATTGTTAAGATTGTGTGCGCCAATAATGAACCCATGTAGGACTTCTAATTTTCTCAGAATCGCCTCGTTGCATAGGTTGAATAAGTCCGGTGAGAAAACACATCCTTGTCTTACATTCCTTGCTACCAATGTAGGTTCTTGATTATTCTAATATCCTTCCCAGATGTGCCTTCCAACGTATGTAAGCTTCTCCAATAAAGAAGACACGCTCATTCCTCGTGATACTGACGGTTTCAATCTTTTTACTATATTGTGCAAAAAATAAGGATTTCATATAAAATTTGAAATAATTTAAAACTAACCGCGCAATAGGAAGTTAAAGCTGATTCTTACTTGAAACTGGATGTAAGAGAGTATCACGTGACATGAACATATTTTTGGCTGGCGTAGGAGGATCATTTTGCACTGAATATTTATAGCAAACTGGTCCTTCATCTTAAAATGTTGAAAATTAAGAAAAAAATTGATAATCGTGATCCGGAATTTATAATTGATAGTAAGATGAGAAAAAAAGTTATTATTTTTTGAAGAGGTGCATTACTGTAAAAAAAAAGTCCCAATAACTTTTCTTTCTTTTTATCTATCTATCTATGTATCTTTCTATCTATGTCATTATCTTCATATCTATATATCAAGAACCATCTTTTCATTATCTATTTATTTATCTATTTCAGTTTCTTCATACCTGTATATCTAGCCTCATCTCTTCATTATCTATCTACGTATCTACCATAATCTATCTATCTATCTATCTATCTATCTATCTATCTATCTATCTATCTATCTATGTCAATTTCTTCATACCTGTATATCTAGCCTCATCTCTTCATTATCTATCTACGTATCGATCAGAATCTATCTATCTATCTATCGCATTCGCTTCATATCTGTAGATCTAGTCCCACCTCTTCATTATCTATCTATCTATATATCTATATCTATATATATGTGTGTGTGTGTGTGTATGAAGAGAGAGAGAAAGAAACGAGACACGCTTGATCAAGCCTGTAGTTTTTGCCAAAGAAGGCATTGTGACCTTCACGGCTGAGCGTCGTTTTATTAAATAACATTTTCCTGTTGTTCCAAGTTAAACATATAAATAAATTTTCTGAAAAAAATATCTGATTTTATCTACTAAATAATTTCCTTCAATTACATGATGAAGATACACGCTTTTTTACGCAACACACGCATATATATATATATATATATATATATATATATATATATATATATATATATATATATATATGCTCTCGAAATAATTCGGAAAGGAAGGGTGATTTTATAAACAGTGGCTGCTACTGCTAATGCAATGCTCTTCTTCTCGAATCGAGCTCTCCTAGTTACTGACGTCTTTCACATAGTAAAAACGTTAAAATTTTCCTTTTTCTCTGTTAGGTCATCATAATCTACATAACTTGATGATAATTTAAAGAAGTCGAAAGCTTAGACCATATTTCTTTCGAAATGAACAATTTCTGACAGAATTTTCTCCCTATCTGAGAAGGCTTATTCGTAATTTGGAAAAGTTAATCCATAAAATTAATTTGACTTAAAGAACATTTGCAGCCTCAATACCTGAATATGTTTACATATATATAAAAGACCGGACAGTAATATCAGCATCACGACAGTCTGTTTCAGAACGCAATCTTCATGGTCTGAAGCATGAAACAGAATGTGGCCACTAAATATTGAGCTCAGTGTCCACTTTTATATTTACACGCATCATTTTTTATTATCTGTTGTGGATTCCGGGATGAAATCCGGTCTCAAACGAATGACAAACGCAGGAATGAAATATAGCAAATAAATGTATTGACGTAATAATACAATTGGTAATACGGTTAGTAGATCCAGAAATGCGGTTAGTAGCAATAATAATAGATATACAGTCTGGGAAATTCAGTATGGAAGTATGACTTCCTTCTGAGTCTACGTGCTCGCAACTGTGACTCCTACAAAGCGGTTACCTCACACTCTCTCACTCACGTCTTACTCCCGGTTATTCACCGACAGCGGTACAAGTACACACTGGGTGAGTCCACTTGTATAAAAAGGGGTGAACCCATTAACATTAACTCTCTCTCTCTCACACACACACGCACACAGACACACACATACACACACATATTTTGGGTCGATCACGACTGTCAGCTTCATATAAGATGAAACGTACAATCGTTTTAGCTGACGAAATAGAACACCATTTCTAATATGAAATAGTATTTCAATTATGTCGCAAGTCATAGGAAATTTTTATTCATGTCTATTTTCTCTCCTTACAGGATGTACTTACTAAGTTAAAAGTGTATAAGAAGAAGAGATGGATTCGTGCCTTTCCCAAGATTGTTAGCACGTATGTGAATGTATGAACTTGACTGAATTCAGAACTCTCTCTCTCTCTCTCTCTCTCTCTCTCTCTATATATATATATATATATATATATATATATATATATATAATTTTATTTATTGTAGGATATTATGTTAAAAACATGTTAAAATCGATACACGTTTAGAATCATGATTCAACACCATAAATGTGTCTCCTCGGGCGATGTTAAAGTACTGGTTCGCCAGTAGTTTAACATCGCCTGAGGAGACATATCGTGTAGCGATTTTTAACATGTTTTAATATTCTAAAATAAATAATATTTAGCTGTATTGAGCCCTCTTTTAAATTAAATGCTATGTACAGTGGAATTATACTCCATTTATTGTCATTTTATCTGTATATATATATATATATATATATATATATATATATATATATATATATATATATGCAGATAGATAGATAGATAATTAATATGAAAAAGTTTTTAACTTAACATATATTTACTTCAAAGTTTTGTTGCTACATAGATGTAACCACTCATTACAACAGAGTTAAACTGCTGATATTACTCGATTCTTTTGTACTTTTATTGTGGTATGAGTGTGATTTTCCTTTTCGCTTGATGGGTTTTAATTGGTTGCTGACTTCCCTTTTCTTCCTCTCCTTTTTTAATTTTTTTCCTTTATTTTTTTCTTTTATTGCTTCCTCATCTTCTCCGTTGATATCTGGTTTATTGCTATTGCCTGGCCATTTAATTTAGGTTATGGTTGGATTTTTGTGTGTGTATGTATGTTTGTGCGGAGGAGTGTTTATGTGTGCACCTATGTATGTGAACGCATGTACACATACATACATGCAAATATGCACGCACACATTAACCCGCACGTGTATGTACGTGTGTCCAGCTATGCACGTCTGTGTCTTTGTGTTTGTGTTAACTGTATATGTATTTTTAGTAGGTTATATTATATAACTTTACTTAGTGTTTGATAAGTGTTGTAACTTAAGGTTACTGAATAGAATAATCAAACGAAGGTTGGTAACGAACGATAATACTCAGGACAAGAACAACATATAAAATTCGCCAGAGGCGCGTAGAAGAAGTAGTCAACTGCTATAAGTGAGTCAAGTGAATTCTACAGTGAATCTTTAACTGCAGGATATCTACCAACCGCCCAACGCGGTCAGATGTGGCACAAGGCCGGATTTAATATGGGGTATCCCAGCCCGTAGGGTTGGCCAAATATTCCCTGTAGACCCCGTATAAAACGAGGTCGGGTAGCTGTTACCCGAGACGAGACGCTGCCCTTCGACATAGCTTCGTCTGGGGATCCTTTCTGCCCAGAGGCAGAGAGTTTGACCAGCACAGCTGGAGACGAATCTCCAATTGCAGGATATCTACCAAGCGCCCAACGCTGTCAGATGTGGCACAAGGCCGAATTTAATGTGGGGTATCCGAGCCCATGGACTCGGCTAAACATTTCCGTGGACCCCGTTTAAAACGGGATTGGGTAGCTGTTTCCCGAGACGAGACTCTGCCCTACGACATAGCTTCGTCTGAGGATCTTCTCTGCCCAGAAGCAGAGAGTTTGAGCTGCACAGCTGGAGACGAATTTCCGACTGCAGACCAACATACAGTATTTTACTACTGCATTTATGTGAACTGGGTCATGCCCATTATCGTCTGTAGGTATGCTACAACAATAAGTCTTTTGTGTTTTGCTATATGAAAGAACAGTTGGTTTTTTGTTAGTGATGTTAAATCAATTAATTATTTCTTTTGTATTTTTTATTGGTTTATGTTTAGTGTGCACCTTAAATTTAGTTTATTGCTATTATTTTGACCGTTTAGATTAGGTTATGGTTAATTTTTGTGTGTATGTGTGTTTGTGCGGGTATTTGTTTATGTGTGTGCTTGTGCATGCATACATACATACAAATATGCACGCAACACGTACTCGCACGTGTATGTTTGTGTGCTCGTGTGTGCGCGTCTAAATGTGTGTTAATCTTTAGTATTATGTCACTGATAGTTTCCTTGGAGACAACGCCCCAGGCATAGTAACCCAGCGGATTCTAAGGATAGCCGTAGGGTCACATGTTGTGGGTAATATGATCGTGCAAAGTTCTCGGTAAGCCACTGCTGGATCACATTGGCTATGTGGCGTGACATTGTCACAGTATTATATGTGGACTGAACTGGTGTTTGGCGACTACGGTCGACTCGGTTTTGTCACTACGTTAGTCTCTACTGCTGTCTTCAGGACAATACACCAAAGATGCACTGTCTCTGCCCCCCCCCCGAATGAATCAGCTTTCTTTTCACCAATACTTTTAATGTGTCTAATAACATTATTTATTTACTACTGAGAAAACGTTTTATTTTATTTTAGTGTCTGGAATGATTACGAACCAAATAACTGGAGAGGCCTGGAATGGTGTAGTGAACTGTGGGGTCACGGACTGAATGATAAATCTTGTTCCGCCGTCCAGGCCTACATTTGCGAGAGATCAAGAGGTAAGTTATCAATTTCTATGCTCTCTTTCCTGATTATATGCCCTAGAAATTTTCGCTGCCTCTTCCCGATGTTAAGTATAAGTGTCCTTTTTGTTTCCATTTTCTCTATAACTTCGCCGTTACTCACATTTACTTCAGATGTCGGTCTATGTGGAAAGAAACAATGCAGTTATTAATAAGAAGAGTTGAAATCAAAACATGCAAGATTTCACAGCTTTAGCATCATTCCTTCATAGTCAGCCTATGAACTTTTCAGTTTACCCTAGTAATTTAATCTACCGAGTAACTTCAGAGTGCAGTTTTTATAATACATCCAATAACTTTAATAAAACTAGTTGAGACTCAAACTTTGGTCTAACCCCTAAATGAATCGTTTAAAATTTGACTGTTCGAAGCAGGTTCGAATTATTGAGGTTTATGTGATTTGCTTAATCACTTCAGAGGTACTTGTATGCCCTGAACGTTAATATCTTGATTATGTCATCATATTCTCTTGCAGTTAGAAGTGCTATCCATTTTAGTCGTTGCTGCTGTTGGTAGACCTTAAGTGATGTCGTGTCCGTTATTCAGTGCAGTTCTTTGGGATTCTATAGCGCCTGGTTGGTTGTTTTTGCTTAGCAGCATATCAACCTGTGTGAGTTATTTAATCCCGAAATCTAAATATTTTGCACGCAATTTCATTATTATTACTATTACTATTATTATTATTATTATTTGTGTATGTTATGTTTCCTGTTTTGTATTTCCCTGTCAGTTTGAATTGGTATGCCCCAGAGGGTTGTTACATCGTTATTTTGGGTAACTGTGTCTGGTTGGTGCTCATACCATCTCTCAGTGGTTTCGATTTTGTGCTTCTTGCATATCTTCCCTGGGCTATTTGCGCGTAAGTAAAAAGATTTATTGTATGGTCAATTAATATTATTATTCATTTATTGCTTTAACATCACATTGCAAAAGGTTCTTACATTAAAGATCAAGTGACAACAAGTTTCTTCAATACTCCCACACTCTCCGCAATATGTCATCCATTTTCAGTAATGCTGTCATCTAGATGGTTTCGCTTCTTTGTTGGATATTCAATTCTTACATTTTTGTTTGGTTCTTTGAAATCGTTCCCTTTGCTTCAATAGCAATATTATCATTATTATTATCATTTGTGCATGTTATATTTCCTCATTTGCATCCCGTAGAGCCGGGTCCAAACTATAGTCCTCATGTCCTATAGGAGAATTGTCATTTAATTGATAGCACTTTTCTTAATATATGAGATATTTCTAATAGGGCGAACGTCTGGGCAACTTCTGTGTTGATGTTACCTGGAACACTGTTAATAAAATTGTCCATTCCTTCCCTACGAGGCCAACAGCTATGATTACTATTGATACAGTCTCAATCTTCATTCCCCCACATACAGTTAATCTCCATCTCCAGGTCCTTGTATTTGGACAATTTCTCGATAATTTTTATGAAGGTGTTTCTCTCAAATGGTACTGCTATGTCAATAGGCATATACTTCTTTAATTTCTTGTCATTTATGACAATATCAGGTCTGTTGGTTTTTATTTCCCTGTCAATTTGAAAGAGTGTGTCATGAAGGATTATAATTATTATTATTATTATTATTATTATTTTAGAGATAATAATGGTTTTGATGATGCAATTCTTACTAATTACACTATAGCTGGAGGAGAAAAGGAGAACGCATAACTTTCCCAATGGTATTTGCATGTAAGTGAATATAATGAACCCAACTGAAATTGGAATTCCAATTCCAAGTCATTGCCCATTACACCACCCACACATCAAAGTTTACAGCACCCATCTAGGTACTCACCAGACTCGACATTGCTCTATAGCGTCTGTCCATAAGGTTAAAGGAAGAATGTCCCACACTAAGACATACAGACGTCATTCGCTTGCAGCCATTATAACCATTGATCTGAGAAAGCATTTGTATACAGCTAACAATTTAGATATTTCTGAACGAGCATAGCATCCATGTAAAGATAGCTCAAGTTTTCTGGATAATATTTTGGCTTTATAGCACCTTGCATGTTGGACAAAACAAATTATATCACAGGCTGTTCTATATTCACTTTCCTTATCTCCTATAATAAAAGTGTAATAATTCATCCATACACCAAGGCAAGGTCTCATCATTTTACAGTTCAAACTAACACTAGTGCAGTCAATTCTATGATCAATTTCCTTATCTCCTATAAAAAAAAGTGTTATAATTGATCCATACACTAAGGCAAGGTCTCAACATTTTACAGTTCAAACTACCACTAGTGCTGTCTATTGTATGGTCAATTTCCTTATCTACTATAATAAAAGTATTATAATTGATACCAAGGCAGGGTCTCATCATTTCACAGTTCAAACTACCTCTAGGGAAGACTATACTATGGTGAATTCCCTCATCTCCTATAATAAAAGTGTTACAATTGTCCCATATACCAAGGAAAATTCTCATCATATTACAGTTCAAACTGACATAAGTGCAGTCAATTCTATGATCAATTTCCTTATCTCCTATAATAAAAGTGTTATAATTGATCCATATACTAAAGCAAGGTCTCATCATTTCACAGTTCAAACTACCTCTAGGACAGCCTATTCTATGTTTAATTTACTTTTTTTTGTAATAAAAGTGTTATAATTGATCCATATACCTAAGCAAGGTCTCTCATTTTACATTTCAAACTAACTCTAGGGCAGTCTATTCTGTGGTCAATTTCCTTATCTCCGATAATGGAAGTGTTATAATTGATCCAAATGCCAAGGCAAGGTCTCTTCATTTTACAGTTCAAAGTACCACTAGGGCAGTCTATTCTATGATCAATTTTCTTATCTTCTATAATAAAAGTGTTATAATTGCTCCATATACGAAGGTAAGGTCTCATCATTTTACAGTTCAAAGGTCAATTCATTTCAATTTCCTTATTTCCAGTGATCCATATGACTAGTCAAGGTCTCATCATTTTACATTTCAAACTAATTCTAGGGCAGTCTATTCTATGGTCAATTTCCTTATCTCCTATAATGAAAGTGTTATAATTGATCCATATGCTAAGGCAAAGTCTCATCATTTTACAGTTCAAACTAACAATAATGTAGTCTATTCTATGGTCAATTTCTTTACCTCCTATAACAAAAGTATTATAATTGTTCCATATACCAAGGGGAGTTGTCATCATTTTACAGTTCAAACTAATACAAGTGCCATCAATTCTATGTTCAATTTTCTCATCTCCTATAATAAAAGTGTCATAATTGATCCATACACTAAGGCAATGTCTCAGCATTTTACAGTTTAAACTAACAGAAATGCAGTTTATTCTATGATCAATTTCCTTACTTCCTATCATAAAATTGTTATAATTGAATCATACACTAAGGCCAGGACTCATCATTTTACAGTTCAAACTAATGCAGTCTATTATATGGTCAATTTCCTTATCTCCTATCATATAAGTGTTATAATTGATCCATATACCAAAGCAATGTCTCATCATTTCACAGTTCAAACTACCTCTAGGGCAGCCTATTCTATGTTCAATTTCCTTATTTCCTGTAATAAAAGTGTTTTAATTGATCCATATGCCTAGTCAAGGTCTCGTCATTTTACGTTTCAAACTACCTCTTGGGCAGTCTATTCTATGGTCAATTTCTTAATCTCCTATAATGAAAGTGTTATAATTGCTCCATATACCAAGGCAAGGTTCATCATTTTACAGTTCAAACTACACCTAGGGCAGCCTATTCTATGTTCAATTTCCTTATCTCCTATAATAAAAGTGTTATAATTGATCCATACACTAAGGCAAGGTGTCATCATTTTACAGTTCAAACTAACAGAAATGTAGTCAATTCTATGTTAATTTTTCCTTATCTCCATTTAGGGCAGTCTATTCTATGGTCAATTTCCTTATCTCCTATAATACAAGTATTATAATTGTTCCATATACCAAATCATCATTTTACAGTTCAAACTACCTCTAGGGCAGTCTATTCCTTGTTTAATTACCTTTTCTCCTATGATAAATGTGTTATAATTGATCCATACATTAAGGGAAGGTCTCATCATTTTACAGTTCAACCTACCTTGAGGGCAGTCTATTCTATAGTCAATTTCCTTATCTCCTATAATAAAAGTGTTATAATTGATCCATACACCAAGGCAAGGTCTCATCTTTTTATAGTTCAAATTACCTCTAGGGCCACCTATTCAATGGTCAATTTTCTTATCTCCTATATTAATATTCTATGTTCAATTTTCTTTCATTATTTTTATATTTCTGAGATGATGTATTATGTACATTATTTGCATTCTTCAGAGTATTGTCCTCATCTTCGTCACCCTATTTATTACAATGTTTCGGCCGTTGTACTCTCCAGCCTTTTTCAGGTGTTTGGAATGTTGAACTGATCACTCACGTGCCATGTTTAATGGATGTCAGTCATCAGTTATCTTCTGTTAATTTTCCCACTAGAAGTTCTCTTCGTCACCACTGTTTGAGTGTCCCGGATTAACCAATGCCTTTATTGCCATATATCCTTGAGGATATCTGTGTGAATTTCTGGGTATTATAAACCTAATATCTTCAGCCATTTTTCAGTCCTTATAACGCAATTTTTGTGTCCGTATTTTTACAGAGCTCATGTTGGAAGCTTTTCTCTGGCAATCTTTATTACTGACCAAGCATAGAAATAAATACAATATCGGAACCAGTCGTGCCATGTTTAATGGATGTCAGTCATCAGGTTATCTTCATTTTTAATTTTTCCCACTAGAAGTTCTCCACAGGGTTTCAAACTACCTCTTGGGCAGCCTTATTCATGTTCAATTTCTTACTCTTGGGCAGCCTATTCCTATAATAATAAAAGTGTTATAATTGATCCATATACCAAAAGGTCTCATCCAGTTATACCTCAAGGCTAAGGTCTCATCATTTTTACAGCAAGTCTCATCATTTTCAAACTACCTCTTGGGCAGCCTATTCCATGTTCAATTTTCTTATCTCCTATAATAAAGTGTTATAATTGATTACCAAGGCAAATCTCATACAATTCAAAAGCAGGTTCAATTTTCTTATCTCCTATAATAAAGTGTTTTTGATCCATATCCCAAGGCAAATCATTTTTACAGTTCAAACCTCTTGGGCAGCCTATTCCATGTTCAATTTTCTTATTTCCTGTAATAAAAGTGTTTTAATTGATCCATATACCAAGGCAAAAGTCTCATCATTTTTACAGTTCAAACTACCTCTTGGGCCTATTTCATATTTCAATTTTCTTATCTCCCTATTATAATTTCCATGTTCAATTTTTACAGTTCAAATCTCCTTGGGCAGCCTATTCCATGTTCAATTTTCTTATCTCCTATAATAAAAGTGTTATAATTGATCCATATACCAAGGCAAAGTCTCATCATTTTACAGTTCAAACTACCTCTTGGGCAGCCTATTCCATGTTCAATTTTCTTATCTCCTATAATAAAAGTGTTATAATTGATCCATATACCAAGGCAAAGTCTCATCATTTTACAGTTCAAACTACCTCCAGTATAGTCTATGTTCAGTTTTCTTATCTCGTATAATAAATTTGTTATAACTGATCCATAGTCAGAAGGTGTTTGAAGTGTTTAGATAGATTGTATATGTGTTCCACTTTTGTTGATTGAACTTGAGTCTCAATAGAAATTCAAAGCAAGGCACCTCATTGAGAGTGTAGCAGTTCAGAGGGAACCAAGGCCTTGTGCTAAATTAAGAAAAACTTAATAAACACACTAATAAGTACTTATGTGACCGCTGAGGAATATCAGACTGGGAACACATGACAGGCAAAGCAAAATTTCCTGTTTGCCTTAGCATTTAAGTTAAAAATCACTGAGTTGTATAAAAAAGAAGCAAATTATAACAGATCCAAGTAAACCATAACGGAAATCAAAGCAAAGGAAATGGTTACATGCCATTAATTCCTTTGCTAAGAAATTATTAGAATTAACGACTATTAAATTAATTTTGAAATTGCCACCATTTTCCTTCAAACATTAACTATAAAGATTATTTTCTTAACTTATAATTCTTAACTCATTTCTATCATTTTTTTTATGTTTTGTGCATAAAGCAAATATATTTTTAATGACATGAACTGGTGGTTTTAATTGGATTTCTATTGCTAATGCATTATTTTAATGGTGTTAAACAACAATTTTAATGGCATTAATAGATTATTTTAATG